CATCACTTACTATATATTCTACACACTGCAACGTCTTCTGTTTCAACACACACTTTGTTAATTTGATATAGAGCTTATACTCTGTCAGAGTTATAAGCACTTTATTGAGATGCTTCAGATATTCATTATATAAGTTTGAAAAAACTAGAATGTTATTGAGATATACAAGACATGAGATTTCATTCTGTTTATGAAGAATTATATTCATCATTATTTAAAAGATGAAGAGTATATTTATCAGACTGAATTACATTATCAGGAATTTAAACTTCTCTCATTGTATATTAAATACAGTTTGCAGTACTGACAGTTTATTTATACAGATCTGCTAGTATTCTGAGAGAGAATCAATCTTTGATAGATATTAGATGTTTTCAACTGTATTCAACTGTTATTAAATCTGTGACAGTGAATATTTATTCTTGATCATAAGCTTATTAAGTGCATAATAATTAATACACATTCATCACTTCTCACTTATCTTTTTCATAAATAGAACTGAAAAGCCTCACACACTTGATGAGAGTTGTATAAGATCATATTCTATAAGGTCTGTGATCTGATACTTCTGTTCTTCAAGATATGTTTGCAACAGAGAGTACACATTCTGATTGACTAATTTCATGTCCTCTGTATCAATCTCATGTACAAATCCTCATTTCAGTGATAATTTCAGTGAAAGATCTGTTCAGAAGATCTTTTCATACTTCTTCAGAAGTTTCTTCATACATCTGTTCTTCTGTATATTCTTTATCTTGGTTTCTCCACTTTCAGATTCTGTATAACATACAGAATGCTTTTAAATAAGGTCTTGTAAATCATTCTCTTTACTTGTTAATGTATAAGCAGATTTAACCCTTCTATATCAGAGACATGGAATGTCCTTCTCATATCAGTTGATAGAATTGTATGAATCATTTTCTTTCTATCAGTTAATTACATATGACATGTATATTTTTGAATCTGCAGATTGAACCTTTGAAATCAATCAAGTTCAAGAATAAGGTCATATTCTATGTTCTGCAGCTCTCATGCTTAAATATAGTAAGACTATTCTCTGAAGTGCAAGAGAACTCTTACTCTTGCAGATGATATTAAATATCTGTTATTAGATAATCTTATGCATCAGAGATTCTTCACTCAGCAGACTTCTTTCAGTTTTCAGATTATATAATTATTAATATATTATATAGAAGTAGACTGACCGTGTGACCGTGTCTGAGACCAGGATCAGAATATTTGATAGTCTCATTATCAATTCGACTGATTTCATTACACTGTTTTAACATTAGATAGTAGTTTCATACTATTTCAGTGAGACTTACTGTCTACTCTGATCACATTTTCCAAATGAGATTATGATTTTCACTTCTCAATTTAAATTATTTTTATTGCTTTAAATGACTTTAAATCTCATTTGAGTGTTATCAAAAAGTGTTACTTTTTAAAAAATTAAAAATAGTCTAAAAAAAACCTTAAAATGTCTAAAAATAGCAACTTTATGCTAAGAATAGAACTAAATGAGATCAAATGAGATCACTTTCTTAATTTTTCTAAGTCATGGTCTCATTTTGAGATCTGATATATAGTCACTTTGCATGTTTTTTTAATGATTAGTCCCAGTGGGATTCACGCCAAGAAATGTATGAGACCAGACCAAATGAGACTAAACGTGAAATTCATGATCCCGGCGGCCAGTCTATATAGAAGCTTCTGTGTCTGCTAACACTTTTACAGCTATCTCTCAATTCTTACTCAAGTATCTCTTATATATTAACATTTCAGGTCTTAAGATATTGAGATGAGTATTCACTTTATCATTCTTATCTAGACCTCATTCAGAAGCCTGCTTTCTCTTGATATTTACAGAATTCAGAGAATTATCTAACACAGACATCTCTTTCACTTTAAAGACTTTTATAGAATATCAGTAAGTGTCTCTGAGCTCACTAATTCTGCTAGTTTTTTGACTCTCTTACTTCTCTTGACTGTGTACACTGTGTGCAATTCTTTGTATCATGATTCTGGTATCTGCAGTTGAAACAAGCTTAATACTCATAATATCAAGATTTTCACTCAGAGAATTTCTTTTTCAGAGAATTCAGCACTTTAGTAATAATATTCAGATCTAGATTCATTACATCTGAATATGTAGCTTGTATTATAGAAGTCTGATTATCTGTTCTTTATTAAGATATACTCAATTACAGTATTTTCTGTTGTAATTAACTCACTTATTCTCATACAATGAGAATATTGTATGCTTTCTTCACTGTGTCTGATTGTGAGATTAAGTATTTTCATTTCACTCTCAACTCAGGTATAAGATCATGAATGAAGATCTGTAAATAGAAAGATGTTGAAAGCTCTTAATTTAATATAAGATAGTGTAAGCTGAAGTGTGTGAAGTATGATATAAGATCACTCACTTGTTTACACTTAGTAAAGTATTTATAATACTTGTCTCACATGTTCACTTTCTCAAAGTTATACAAGATTTATTTGAAAAACTCATTTCATATTTATAAGAATGAATATCATTTCAAGTCTGTGAAATTCATCTTTTTATCAGTTATTTATAATCACTTCACTTTTCTGTGTAGAAATATAGCAGATTTTAAGACTTGTTAGAATTCTGTTAACTATCTGTCTGTAAGTTTGCATTCAATCTGATAATATGATCATATCTGACTTAGTCAGCTGATTGCAGCATCATTTTTTCAGTCACTATTAAAGCTTAATAATTTCAGCAGATCTTCTAACTTGATGTATTTTATATTTGAATTTTCATTCTGTATAGTAGTCTTTGATGATGTGTATACTTCTGAAGAGATTGTGAATAATTATAATGAGATCTTCATGTTCAGTGTAGTTATCTATCTGTGTAAATATTCAATCTCTCACTACAGATCTAAGACCTGGTTTTCTCTATTCTTATTAATGATAGCAATTGTGTCAGTTAAGCTCTTTATCATAAATGCTTAATCTGCAGTGAATGTTAATTATTGTTTGATTTTCACCTCAGTCTGTCACTGTGTATGCAAGGTCTTGATCTTATTTAGAATTCTTGTACATGTACAGAGCTTCAATTTCAGTTCAGTGATCTCAGCTGCTTTTCTTACTGCTTCAAGTAAACTCTCTGAGAGGTTCTGCATACCTTTCAGTTCAGATAGCAGAGAAGAGTGTTGTTATTTGTATTAACTAGAGAAGATGTTCATTTCAGTGATTTCTTATTAATTGTATAATGTCTATTATTATATTGTTATATTATTATATCATTATATGATTTCTGATTTTCTATTATTATTGTACAATTCTGATGATAATCACCTCTCTTTTTATTCTTCTTTTAAGTAGAGAGCAGACTTCTTTGAATCTGATTCACTACTCTTATCTTCTTTATCACATCTCATCTGTTCACATATATGATATTTATCTGAGTGTGAAGTTTTCTCTTAATAAGTAAAGTAGTATTAATCAGATGCTCTTTCATTCATTATTCTTTCTACACTATCTTTTGAGATGTTTTTAGAACTACACTGATATAATAACTATAAATTGCTTCATAGACAGAATTATCATGCTCTGAAGAAGTCTGCACTTATTACTGATTTTTAGACATGCTATCAGATGTGATTCAAAGATTGCTTGAGTCAGTATATAATTACAGATATACATTAGCTTCTTATATACAGTATACTAAATTAATTGATAACTGCTATGACCTCTTTACATTTATAAGCAAGTTCGGAAGCGGCCGCGTTATTATCCGGTGGTCATACATTCTTCCGAATCACACTGTAGTAGCTCTACTAGATCTCTCTTATTAAGTTAATATCTACACTTCTCAAGATTGAACAGAGAAGAAATAAGACTTATATATTAAATTAGTCTAAGACTACTACAATGTCAACTATCAGAGATTTGAATAAGCAGATGTTTAAGATATGAAAACAGTGAAATACAATTCTCTAGTAAGTAATAATTTTTGATAATACTTTATATTACATAGAACTATAATACTAACTTTGAAACAGAACTTGTATACATTGATTGTAACTGAAAATCAGCTAAAACTACATACTTATAAAACTGAATTTGACTGCTATCTTCAAGATAATCTGATGAATTTACACATTAAATCAATTCTAGAGTTATGAAAAATTATTGAGAGTATATATTCAACTGTTGTACTAATGATATGTGATATTCTGATAATTTTATTAACAGAGATGAGAATGAAGTGAAAGTTCAACTTAAGCTGAGATATTTATCACTATCACTAAGAATAATTATAAGAAGAAATAATTAAGAAACTTATAATTGTAAAATATAAAATTATCAGATAGTTTAATATCTCTGATCACAGTGTATCAGAGAAGTATAGTTTTTATAAGAAAGTAAAGAATAAACTTATATAAGAATATATTTAGTTATTTTATAAGTATTATCAATAATTATTATCAAATTATAATTATATAAGCAATCACTGAATGAATTAAATGAGACTGATTTTAATTCTCAGTTTCAGTCTTATTCTGATTTTAAAAGAATAATCATCTTTTATAGTTTATTTTAAGAAATTACTCTTATTTTACTTTTCTTGAATTAAATCTGATCATTTTTCACATCATTTCTCTTAAAAATGATTTATTTTCAGATTTCTTTAAGACTTAATTCTAATAAAACTCATATTAAGAAATGTATAAGATTAGATTAAATAAGATTAAATATAAAATTTATAATTCTGTCAGTCAGTTTAATCTGTAGTTATAAGAGAGAGTTAATCTCTTAATAAATAAATAATCTTCTTCATATTATTATTCTCACTATATATATATTATAGCTCTGTGATATTCACTGTTTTTTATATAATATCTTATATCTTTATCATATCTTTATTTATTTTCTTATATTTTATGTATTTGATTTTTCACACAGTGATCTTGATATTATATACTATTTCTGTGATAAATTCTTCTGAATACTCAGGTTTCAGAGGTTCTTTTAGTTCAGAGAAGATATCAGATTTATCAAGATTGATGAAGTCTGATACCTTCTTATTCTTTGCATATTCTTGCATATGCGTGTACCAAAGTTTCCAACCTTCAGAAACACTAAGGTGAACTGTCACACTAGACATTGTCTTGTCTGTCATATCAGTTATATTGAATGGATTGAGGAATCGGTTTAAGTAATTGAGAATATGATCAGAATTCAGGGTGTATAACAGTCGAGTATTTCGGAATGTATACAAGTGAGGATCTATCGTCTCAGTTCGAATGATAGTTATCAGTTTGAATGAGGATTGAGATCAGTGATCAATTGTCTCAGTTCGAATGATAGTTATCAGTTTGAATGAGAATTGTGATCAGTGTATCGCGCTTCTCTTCAGATGCTGCTTACCGGGAATCGGTGTATAACGGTCGAGTAGTTCAGACCGTATACGGATGAGGATCAATCGTCTCAGTTCGAATGATAGTTATCAGTTCGAATGAGGATTGGGATCAGTGTATCGCGCTTCTCTTCAGATGCTGCTTACCGGGAATCGGTGTATAACGGTCGAGTAGTTCAGACTGTATACGGATGAGGATCAATCGTCTCAGTTCGAATGATAGTTATCAGTTCGAATGAGGATTGGGATCGGTGTATCGCGCTTCTCTTCAGATGCTGCTTACCGGGCTCATAACTGTCAAGTATGGGTGTCACGGATGAATATGTTGAAGACATATGAATCTTATGTGTATCAAGATCTGCTTGTTATATTATTCATGCACTATCTATTATATCTATTTCATACAAAAGATAGAGCTATTTATAGTAAAACAAATGTGCGAGCCAAGTGAGCTAGCATAAGCGAGTATTAGACGAGCATTGTACTCCGCAGTAAGCTGATGATGATGAGAAATTGTAGGCTACTGGGGCAAAAGAGCTCAATCACCACCAGCGCACTGCTGGTAGAAGGGCCGATCAACCGCGGGACCCCCAACAGAAATATAGTAGTAATACGATGATGGTGGCGTTCATAGTGTATGACCTCTTATTCCTGACAGGTAGCTCCAACAAACCAACTGCCATCGCCCTCCATCTCTTCCCCAGCTTCGATCAAACACTCATCCCACTTTGCTCGTCCGTGCCCTCATCATGACTTCTCTCCTGAGATGGGCCAAAGCCACCTTTCGAAGAGTTCCCTCCCCTCCCGTGTGTTTTCCGACCAGCGGCTGCGTAACAGTCAGTGGGTCTGAACTTGATGAGGAACGATTTGAAGAGTTCAAGAAAGGACGATACTATCCTATCAACATTGGGGATGTCTTGAGTTCCAGATACCAGATCATCGGTAAACTGGGATTTGGGCTTACCTCCACCGTATGGCTCGCTCGTGATCTCGAGTAAGTCAGCTCTCTCTATGTTCAACTATGACAGGCTAACGCAACCAGAGGTCATAAATATGTGACAGTGAAGGTATATACGCGTGATGAAGTTAATCAGGAAGAGTTTCAGATTTATAAGTATTTGAAACAAGGAAACCCGTCGCATCCTGGTTATGTCCATGTGAGAAAGGCCCTAGATGTGTTCACCATTCCTCGTCCCGGAGGTGGCCATCACTGTCTTGTCCAGAAACCCATGTGGGAGAGTTTCAAGGATCTGCTCTATCGCAATCCCAATCATCGATTTACTGAGGACCTACTCAGGGTTGGTCTCATGCAAGTTTTTCTTGCGCTTGACTACCTGCATACCGAATGCAAGCTTGTCCATACAGGTAAGAAGTACTTCATTTTCTCAAAAGTACGACCGCTAACCCGTAGCCTAACTAGACATCAAGGGTGATAACATTCTTCAAGAAATAGAGGACAGAGCGATCCTCGAACGCTTTGCAAAAGCTGAAATGGAGAACCCTTCACCTCGGAAGTTTATCAACGGAATACCAGTGTATGCTTCCCGACGGTTTGAATTGCCAAAGACATTTGGCAAAGTAGTCCTGAGTGATTTTGGTTCAGCTGTTCGAGGAGATGAGAGGAGAAACCATGATGCTCAACCCAACGTTTACAGATCTCCAGAGGTGATGCTGAAAGCTGAATGGAGTTACCCAATTGATATATGGAATGTTGGCGTCATGGTATGTTTTTCCTCTGTATTCTCCCACTTGATCACACTCTTTTGAGATTACTAATAAGTCAGGAAAATCAGGTCTGGGACTTGATTGAGGGCAAGCACATGTTCCATGGCAATGATCCCGATGGGAAAGGGTATTCCACCCGTGCGCATCTTGCCGAGGTGATTGGCATTCTAGGGCCGCCTCCCTTAGATATGCTCAAGCGTGGACAACGGAGCCTTGAATTTTTTACTGAAGATGGTATGTATTATTTCTCAATCTCTGAAAGTACCTTGCAGATGTAAGAGGCTTATTATAGAACTGTTATAGGACAGTGGAAGCATGACATAGAGATATCTCAAGCAAGTTTGGAAGAGTCGGAAGAGTTTCTTAGAGGAAGAAATAAAGAAATGTTTTTAGTTTTTATAAAAGGAATGCTTCAATGGCGACCAGAAGATAGAAAGACAGCAAAGGAACTTCTTGAAGATTCATGGCTAAATGATCGGATAGACTAGCTCACTAGTAACTATTTTAATAAATGCTACTGATAATAGGTTTCTGTTTCTGTTTATCTTGTTAATCTAGCATTCAATGCTTATTGTGAGATGTAATTGTAATTGTGGCGGGCTGCGCCCGATCTTAAGACTATTCCATTACACTCCATAGATTCCTGCCGAAAGCCCCGATTCTCGATCGCCGATCCAGAACCCACGGAGTTCCTATTCTTCCGCCCCGAAGCTCCACCTCGTACGCGTATAAATATCCGCTCCGATCGCCGATCCTCGCACTTTCTCTTTTTGTTTTCCTTCTCTAACGTTTTCCACTTTTGTTATATGCATATATGATATGGCTAGGTCTCTTCACCTTACAATTTGTATGGCAATTTGGCCCGGGGTTGTGGTGTGGTGGGGGTAAACGGGGGATAATCCCACACAGGAGTTGAATATGATTTCTTCTTCTCTTTGTATACACTGCAGACTGTTCATCTCAGTAGAAACTTATTATCTTTATAGATTAAAGTTTGTAAATAACAGTGTTAATGTCTTTATTATAATTAGATTCTTAGTGAAGACTGTATTATTCTGACTTATCAGAATTTATTATATAAAAGTTATATCTCAGCTTCTGCAGATATCTTATCTCTTTAAATAATTTTTAAGTGAGCTTATTCATTTTATCAGAATACTCTTATCACTGAATGTTTAATCAGAGCTTATAATCTCACTTCTCTAAGTTAATAATCTCTTTAATCTGATATTCTCTTTCTCTTTCTAATACTTTATAAATAGAGTAATAAGTCACAGAATTCTCTCTTGAGAATTGCTTATATTTATAAAGTAAAGAGATATGAAAAATATTATATATCAGTAACTTTCAGATAACAGTTTCAATCTATAGAACTGTGAACTAACTTTCTTTATAATCTTATAAGACTCTGTTTATAAGAGATTCAGCTTCTTACTAGATCTCTATATAATAATATTTTTCAGACTTAGTCAGACTTTATCATCTTTCTTAAAACTCTTTATAATATACTTATAGTTATAGTATCTCTTTTAATACTCTTAAGTCTTTCTCAAGAACTTACAGAGTTTCTCTCAGATATTCTGAATTCTCTCAATCTATTTACAGATATTATCACACTTTATAGTATACTCTTACAGATTTATCAAGATTATTCACAGATAGATCTGAGTAAGCATCTTAAAAAGAATTTTATTTATACTGATATATTTTAAGTTATTATATATAAACTCTGTAAGTGATAATTAATATACTCAGTTATTCTGATTGTAATTGACAAAGTACTACAGATACTGTTTTAATATACTTATCAGATATTCTGTCTAATTATCTATCTATTAAAAAAAAGCTATGCTTAGATCTTATAAGATCTTCAGTATAATTATCAGATCAGATCAAAACTTCTCTATAAAAATTAATTCTCTATTTAAAACAATATTCATAAGTAATTCATATAATTAAATCATATCACAGATAAAGATATAAGTTAAATTCTTTAACTTTAAGTTCTTATAAGTAAGTATAAAGTGTGTTATCTTGATAAAGTAATCTACTATCATCAACACACTGTTAAAGAAGATATTATATATATTCTTACTTTTAGAAAGACTTATAAGAGTATTTATTTCTAGCTGTTATCAATATTTTTATAAAATGAGTAGAGAAGTAAGTTCTTTATATAATCTAAACTATACTACTTATAAACTCTGATAAATAGTATAACAATTCACTATCTTCTTTATAAGCTCTTATATTTTCAGTCAGAAGTATTTTCTTATAAGTAACTTATAAGTTCTAGTATCTATAAAATAACTTATTAGAGAAGAGTTATAATATCTTTTAATAAGTTCTATATATAGAAACTCATTTATAAGTATATAAATTCAGCTCTCTCTTTATAAGAGATTATTTAAGTCTCTTCAATTCTTTATTTCTGCAGAATTAATCTCTGCTGTAAGTAGTTTTTAAATATATTAAGTATATTCATTCTTCAGTTGCAGTTCTGATAATCTAAATAAAAGATCTTATAAAGACTTATACTATATTTTCTCTTATATCAGATCTTCTGCAGTACTTCTCAAAGTCTGTAAACTCTTCAGATTACAGATATTCTCTTCAAGAATGCTTGTGAAGATTCTTAAAGTATTGACTCTCAGTATTATAAAGAGTAGTTATACAGACTTCTTCTCTTTCTTCTCTCTCTTCTCTTATAAAGAATTGAAAGACTCTTTAGTCAATTTCTTCACAATACTCAGTCTGAGTATTCTGCAAAGCTTTTCTGTCTTCTCTAGTCTCTTTATATCTGTTACTTTAGTCTTCTTAATATAGTCAGATCTGTGAGAGAGTTGAAAAGAACATTTTTTAACACCACTGCTCTACGACGAACTCGCTCGATTTTTCGAATAAGAACCCGCTGATAGATCCATCGAAAAGCCCTCGATCATACAAGCATTTTGACCCCATCGCCGACCGCATACCCCGTGTGGTGGTGGAGTTACCCAGCTAAATGTGAACCAGATGTTGTT